GCAGTAGCGCAATCTTGGCTCACTGCAACCTTGGCCTCCTGGGTTCAAGCGACTCTCCTGCCTCAGCCTCCCAAGTAGATAGGACTTACAGGCATGTGCCACCACGCCCGGCTAATTTTTGTATTTTGAGTAGAGACAGGGTTTCACCATATTGGCAAGGTTGGTCTTGAACTCCTGACCTCGTGATCTGCCCGCCTCACCCTCCCAAAGTGCTGGGATTACAAGTGTGAGCCACTGCGCCCGGCCTTTTTTTTTTGGCGGGTGGGGGATGAAGTCTCACTCCGTCCCCCAGGCTGGAGTACAGTGTCGAGATCTCAGCTCACTGCAACGTCTGCCTCCAGGTTCAAGCAATTTTCATGCCTCAGCCTCCCGAGTAACTGAACTACAGGCAGTAGTTGGGGAAGACTGCTGGTCTGAGACCAGTGGAATAGTAATAATTGCAAAGGATTTGCAGGGAACAAGGGAAACTGACGAGGGAGAGCCAGTTCTTGCTATCTGTCCTGGAATATTTTTTGGCATCATCCTTAGTGTTCTATTTCTAATAGTCATACAATGACATCCTGTCCTCCTCCCCTTTCTCTATTTCTCCATGTAACAGGTTAGGCCTGTCTGTGCAGTGGATGATGCAGCTCAGACACCGAAGACCACATTAGATCTCCTCAATGCCTCTGTGGCAAGAGATAGTATCACAATGTAGAAAATACTTGTATAGGCCGAGCGCGGTGGCTCACACTTGTAATCCCAGCACTTTGGGAGGCCGAGGAGGGCGGATCACAAGGTCAGGAGTTCAAGACCAGCCTGGCCAACACAGGCAAACACTGTCTCTAGTAAAAATACAAAACTTAGCTGGGTGAGGTGGCAGGCGCCTAATCCCAGCTGCTTGGGAGACTGAGGCAGGAGAATCGCTTGAGCCCGGGAGGTGGAGGTTTCAGTGAGCCAAGATCGCGCCACTGCACTCCAGCCTCAGAGACAGAGCCAGACTCTGTCTCAAGCAAACAAACAAACACAAGAAAATGCTTGTATAGGCTGCGCGCGGTGGCTCACGCCTGTAATCCCAGCACTTTGGGAGGCTGAGGCGGGCAGATCACTTGAGGTCAAAAGTTTCAGACCAGCCTGGCCAACATGGTGAAAACCCATCTCTACTAAACATATGAAAATTAGCCGGGCATGGCTAATAACAATTGATGAGTTCTTATGAGTTTATGTATTGACTGACCCATGAGGCGTGGTTCTTCGGTTCCACCTCGTGTTGGTTGGGGTCAGTCATGTGACTTCATCCAGCAGGGAGCTTAGCCAAGGTTGGAACATCTAAAATGGCCTCCACCCCATGTGTGGCAGTTGGTGCTGGCTGTTAGCTGGCTCGTATTACACCCCTCCACACGGCGTCTCATCCTCCAGGGCCTCTCCCTCCATGCAGCCTCTCAGGCAGGAGAGCCCAGATTTCTTTCTATGGTGCTGGCTTCCAAGAGGGCAATGACAGAAACTGCAAGGCCTCTTATGGCCTAGGCCTGGAAGACACCTAATGTTCCATCTGCCACATTCTAGTAATGCAGACAAGTCACGAGGCCAGCTCTGATTCCACCTCGTGTTGGGCAGAGTGCCAAGTAATGCTGTAGAAGGACACGCAGAACGGGAGTCATGGGGGTAGCCATCTACGGAAGCAGTCTACCTCATCAAGTCAGGGACGTTCGGTCCATTTCCCTGTTTCAGAGAAAACCCTGAGCTCGGCGCGGTAGCTCATGCCTGTAATCCCAGCACTTTGGGAGGCAGAGATGGGCGGATCACCCAAGGTCAAGTGTTCGAGATCAGCCTGGTCAACATGGTGAAACCCATCTCTACTAAAAATACAAAAATTAGCTGAGCATGGTGGTGGGTGCTACTTGGGAGGCTGAGGCAGGAGAATCACTTGAACCTGGGAGGCGGAGGTTGCAGTGAGCCGAGATTGTGCCACTGCACTCCAACCTGGGCGACAAGAGTAAGACTCTGTCTCAAAAAAAAAGAGAGAAAACCCAAGGAGAAAGAAGAAGTTGGTAGATTCTTGGCACTGAGATCTCTGATAGGGGAAAGTGGGGGTCTATGACGGTGGCACTACCACTTTCCAAGTACTGGTGTCCACATTGTCGCCAGCTGATAAACCTTGATGTTGATGCATTCATACCAAGGCACAGCTGTGCACCGTGACCCTGTCCTGCTGCGCCACTTGTTTCTGGCTATGTTGGGTGTGGAAATCTCCATTTTGTGAGTCAGTGATGCTATTAATGGACAAAGAGATTTTAAACCTCACAATACAATCTTTCAAAAGGTAAAAAAGTCATTGTGCTGAGGCACTTGTTAGCTCTAGCATAAAAAATAAGCATTTAACGTTCATCCCAAGAAGGTATGCAATTACCAAAATATATTGTGGTGGTGTTTGACGCAGAGTCTGTCTCTGTCTCACAGGCTGGAGTGCAGTGGTGCGATCTCCAATCACTGCAAACTCTACCTCGTGGTCTCAAGCGATCCCCCTCAGCCGCTGCGTGCCCCTGTGCCTGGCTAAGGTCTTGTTTGTTTGCTTGTTTTGGAGCGATGGGGGTTTTACCATCTTGGCCAGGCTGGTGTCGAATTCCTGGGGTCAAATGATACTCTCACCTTGGCCTCCCAACGTTCTGGGATTATAGGTATGAGCCAGCATGCCTGGCCAATATTGTGGTTTTTAATTAAAGTGAAAATTAGGTAGCATAAAATTAGCCATCTAAAAGTGTACAATTCAATGGCATTTAGTGCATTTACTAATGCATGCTGTGCCAGCATCACCACTATCTACTTTCAGGATCTTTTCATCATCCCATGCAGAAACCTCATATCCATTACAGTGCCACTCCCCATCCCCTACTCCCCTAGCCCCTGGCAACCCCGATCTGCTTTTCTGTATCTATGAATTCATCCATTCTGGATATTTCACATAAAGCAAATCATATGATATGTGACTTTTACTCTGTGGCTTCTTTCACTGAGCATAATGTTTTTGAGATCTATCTAAGTTTTAGCATGTATCAGTACTTCCTTCCTTTGTACCAAAATACATTGAAATTAGTGACATTTTAATACATTTACAGGGTACTTTTTTTTTTTGAGACAGGGTCTTGCTCTGTAACCCAGGCTGCAGTAGTGACCTGATTACAGCTCAAGAGATCCTCCTGCCTCAGCCTCTCGAGGTACCTGGGACTACAGGCACACACCACTATGCCCAGCTAATTTTTGTATTGTTTTTGTAGAGACAGGGTCTTGCTATATAGCCCATGCTGGTCTCCAACTCCCAGCTTCAAGCGACTTTCCTGCCTTGGCCTTCCAAAGTACTGGGATTACAGGAGTGCGCCACTGCTTTCAGCCTACAGGGTGGATTTTGCAATCCCATTGAATCACTTTTAATAACTACGAGGCATTCTGATCATGCCTCATTCTTCTTGGCATCCGCCTTTATTCTCGTGCACCATACAGTGGGGTACCCAAGCCAGGCAAAGCAGCAAACCCGGATGCCCAAGCGGCCGGCCACCAAACATGGTGGTCCAAACACCCTTGTTAGTGTTGTTACTAATTTGAGGTCTGATCTGGGAGAAGGCCAGTACCAAAGAGAGTTGCCAGGGGAGACGGGTCAGTTGCTTAAGAGAGGAGCACAGCTGCCCTAGAACAAGAAAGGCCCATGGCCTTGACAATGTAACCAGAGTCCCAATATTTGATAACAACACACAGGAGAAAGTAACGTGATAAGCAGTGGGAATTTTAGCTCCTCCACAAAGGAAGAGCCTTTGCTATCTGTTCTGTTTGATTTCTTGTTCTCTTATAATTGACTGCAGTTATGAAAGAACCATGCCAAGGCGCAGCATGAAAGCACCTCTGTTAACAGATGCACAGTGCTGTGAGCTCCTAGTAGGGTGAGAAAAAAAATCTCTGGCTCTAGATAGAATACTTGAGGTTGAAAATATGTTAGTTACCTAAAGACCCCTTCCTCCCATGCACCCAGGCCTCTGCACTCCATTATACAGAAAACATTCCCTCCCACTTTTTTTTTGAGACGGAGTTTCCCCCCTTTTTTAGATGAGTCTTGCTCTTGTCCCCCAGGCTGGAGTGCAGCACCACGATCTCGGCTCACTGCAACATCCGCCTCCTGGGTTCAAGCGATTATCTTGCTTCAGCCTCTTGAGTAGCTGGGACTACAGGTGCCTGTCACCATGGCAGGGTAATTTTTGTATTTTTTAGTAGAGACGGGGTTTTGCCATGTTGGCCAGGCTGGTTTGAAATTCCTGACCTCCAGTGATCCGCTCTCCTTGGCCTCCCAAAGTGCTGGGATTACAGGCATGAGCCACTGTGCCAGGCTATGTACAGAAATTTTTAAAACATTCATTGATATGGCTGAGCTAGGATTGCACCGGTGCACTCTAGCCTGGGGGACAGAGTGAGACCCTGTGTCTAATAAAGCACAAAACAATGTTTATATTACAGTGATTTCCTGATTGGTGAGTGCTGTGTGGCGCCATTGTGTTCATGCATAGGCAAGAATACATATGTCAGAAATAACTGTGTGCCTTTGCATTTTGTCTTTAGGAATTTTCATTCCTTTGGAGATTATCCAGGTAACCATTACTTGCTAATTACCTCAATTTATTATCCACCCCAGGTCTCGAAGTCAGTAGATGAGGAAATCTTAGAAGTTATTCCATTTACAAGGTGGAGTAACTTTGTAGGGTTACGAAATTATTGCTATTGTTGGAGGTTTAAAAGGTTGATTTTTAAAATCCAGATATTCATTGTTATAACTCAGTTTAGTTCAACTCGTGTCTACACTTACAAAACCTTAGCTATTTAGTGTAAGAAATGCTGACGTACATGACGTTGAGAAAATGATAATAGATGCAGTGTTTGTCCTGTCACTTGTTTGTACTTCGTACTGTGAGAAAACTGGAGGGAAGACATAGAACTATCTTTTAAATGAAAAACAAAACAACTTAATCAATTCAAGGAGCTTTAGATTATTTTGTTGACTTTATTTGTCTTTTCTTGACACGTGGCAATTCCTCTCTTCTAGCTATTTTATGTTTTCTTTGTTTGTTTATGTTGGGGTGGAGTGCTGCTCTATCGCCCAGGCTGGAGTGCAATTGTGTAACCTTGGCTCCCTGCAACCTCTGCCTCCCGGGTTCAAGCGGTTCTCCTGCTTCGGCCTCCTGAGTAGCTGGGATTACAATAAAAAAAAAAAAAATACTAGTTTTTGTATTTTTAGTAGAGACAGGGTTTCGCCATGTTGGCCAGGCTGTTCTTGAACTCCTGACCTCAGGTGATCTGCCTGTCCTGGGCAACCCACTCTGTTACCCAGGCTGGAGTGCAGTGGCGTGATCTCGGCTCACTGCAACCTCTGCCTTTTGGGTTTAAGCGATTCTCCTGCTTCAGCCTCCCGAGGAGCTGGGATTACAGGCGTGCACCACCACACCCAACCTGGATCCTTTCTTTATCCTTGAGCTTCGGGATGTAAGCTTGTGGTTACTGCAGCTTCGTCTGCTTTAGGGGGCACCCCAAGCCTAGTAACCCTGTGGTTCTTGCAGGTGGCAAAGCCAGCCAGGCCAGTGTCCTTCCCTCCAGGGTGGCAACTTTCCCCCAGTTCTGGGCAGATCCAGAGTTGCCATTTGGGAGCCAGGGTCTGGAGTTGGGAGCCTCAGGAGTCTAGCTGGTACTCTACTGTGGCTAAGCTGGAGCCCAAGCTGGGAGATACCACAGACAAAGAAGTCTCACCGCATGGCCAGCACTGCCCAGGGCCCACCGGGAGTACCAACAGGCTATTGCCCATGTTCACTCGGGGACCAACGGCCCTCGGTCAGCTTGCGGTGAATGCTGCCAGGCCTGTGCCTCTCCCTGCAGGGCAGTGGGCTCCCCTCTGGCCCTGGGGCAGATCAAGAAATGCCACCAGGAGCCCAGACCTGGAACTGGGGAGCCCAGGAACTCACCTGATGTCCTCGTCCTCTGTGGGGTCTCCTTTCCTCTTCCCTCTCCTTTCCTCAAGCAGAAGGGGTCTCTGCCTGTGGCCACCACAGCTGGGAATGTGCTGGGTCACACTAGGGTCCCGTGCGGCTCTGAGACTCACCTGAGCCAGCGCTAGTGTGGCCGGGGTCTCGCTACTGTTCTTCAGGGCCCAAGGGCTCCTCGGTTGGGAGGTGATGTGTCCCATTAGGACTGGCTCCTTCTTTTCAAGGGAGACGGTTCCCTTCTGGCCCAGGGTGTGTCTGGAAATGTCATCTGGGAGCTACGGCCTGGAACGAGGGCCTCACAACTCTGACCCGTGCCCTGTCTTCCTGCGGCTGAGCCAGTATCCAAGAAGCAAGACAATATCCTCCCTACCCTTCCCTCTCCTCTCCCCAAGTCCTCTGGCTCCGAGCCCAGGAACTGCCATGGGAACCTGGGTGCCATCCACTGAAGATGGCCGATTTTTCTCCGGCTAGGGCTGGTCTAAACCCTCCCTCTATGGGCGCCGCTGAGTTCTGCCCCATGTTGCTTTCTGCTGCGACAGGGCAGCAGCACTGAGTTCCCACACAAAGCCCCACGGTCACCGTGCCCGCCCTCCTCCAAGTGCACAGATTCTCTCTCTGCACCACACGGCTGCTGCTGGAGTTTCGGGGGTGTTGGGGGAGGGTGATCAAGACTGTCCTTCCTACCCTCCTCAGGGCCTCTTTCAGTGATGCGAACTCCAACAGGTCCTGTGGTCACTCACCTGAGTTTTGGATCTTAGGAAAGTGGTTTTTTTTTAATATATATATATATTTTGTACTTTAGGTTTGGGTCCATGTGCAGAACATGCAGAGTGATGCGTAGGTACATACATGGCAATGTGGTTTGCTGCCTCCATCCCCCCATCACCTATATCTGGCATTTCTCCCCATGTTATCCCTCCCCAACCTCCCCACCCCTGCTGTCCCTCCCCTAGGCTCCCACAACAGACCCCAGTGTGTGATGCTCCCCTCCTATTTGGCCGTGTTGCTCTGCCTCTCCCAACTGTCTTCTGTTATTAAAGCCCTTCTGATATTAGTAAGTGTATTTAACACAGTAGTGCTTCCTGAAGCTTCTTCATGAAGGTTCTGTTTTGGCTTGATAGCAATATGCGCTTCCTTGTTTCTTATCACGTGGCTTAGCAAGCAGGGCGTTGTAACAGTGGAGGAAAAATCTCCAGTTTTCCATGTTCTCTCAGCCAAAAACTTTTTTAGAGAAAGAGTATATTTAGGAAGGAGGATGACCATTTAGATTTTTACTAATAAATGTTTTAATGGTTTAATTTTACTCGTTAAAATGTAATATCCAAAAATCTATGATTCATTTTTCTCTTTTCCCATTTCGGTATTTATTTATTTAGAGGTAGACTCTCGCTCTGTCACCAGGCTGGAGTGCAGTGGTGCCATCCGGGCTCACTGCAACCTCTGCCTCCCAGGTTCAAGTGATTCTCCTGCCTCAGCCTCCTGAGTAGCTGGGACTACAGGTGCAGCCCACCATGCCCGGTCAATTTTTGTATCTTTAGTAGAGACCGGGTTTTGCCATGTTGGCCAGGTTATTCTCGAACTCCCAACCTCAGGTGATCCACCCGCCTCGGCCTCCCAAAGTGCTTGGGTTACAGGCACAAGGCACTGTTCCCGGCCCCATTTCAGTTTTAAAAACTGCCTTCGTGCACAGAAAAAAACATGATTTGTCTCCACAACATCAACTTATTTCATTTAATAAAAATTTATAAACAGGTTACGATGTATACACAAGGGAAAACTCACATTGTAGAGTCGCTGACAAATAGAACAAAAGGCTGCCAAGTCCAGTTTTCTTGTTCCTGTTATTACACTTCGTAAGGAGCTACCTACTTTATCTTTTTCTTTCCGCCATTTTGCCTGCAGTCTTCCTTCCACGCTGCTTGGCTGAAATGTTTGCTGATCGGTATCACACGGCGTTGTTTGTTTCACGGGTCCTTATCGGTAAAGCTGCACCCAAAACTTCCTCTGTCATTTCCTGCTCAGAGGCGCTCTCTGCCCCAGGAGCAGCTCTTTGGGTGTGGCCTGCGGTGTGGCCCATCAGGCCAGCCAGGGCTCAGTCTCCCTCTGTGTGGCCTTCTGTACGTCCCGCTGCGGGGTCGCTGTTCCTGCAGCAGCTGTCCTACCCTGGCCAGGCCCTTGCTCTCCCTGGTTCTCTCCATCCCAGGACCATCCTAATAACCTTTTTGTCTTTTTCCTTTGAGACAGAGTCTCACTCTGTCACCCAGGCTGGAGTGCATTAACGAGACCTCGGTTCACTGCAACCTCTGCCTCCTGGGTTTAAGCGATTCTCCTGCCTCAGCCTCCTCAGCCTCCCAAGTAGCTGGAATTATAGGCGCCCACCACCAGACCCGGCTAAATCTTGTATTTTTAGTCGAGACGCTGTTTCGCCATGTTGGCCAGGCTGGTCTTGAACTCCTGACCTCAAGTGACCCACCCGCCTCGGCCTCCCAGAGTGCTGGGATTACAGGAGTGAGCCACTGTACTCGGCCCATCCTAATAACTTTGAAGCCTGGTTGTAGCCTCCCCTCTCCCACCTGTCCTCAACCAAGCAGGGAGTGGAGTAGTTCCTCACGGGCTTCCTCTCCTGGAAGTCAGAGAAAAGTCAGGCTACTTGATGAGGCCCGCCAGCCCCCGTGCCACCACTGAGCCGGCTGTGAGGGTGGCCAGGGCCTCTAGTGCCCAGCCGAGGTAGCTGCCTTTCCCCGAACTGTGCGGAGAGTTTCTCTTCATGAAGAAACTCTAACTTTGAGAGTTTCTCTTAAAAGCCCAGTACTTTTACGTTATCAGAGGTTTGGCCTTACATTTTAAAACGTTTTTCTCCACAGAGTCTTTGCAGCCAATGAACCAGAATAGCGGTTCCATCAGCTGTGAGAGCCTTGGCATCTTCATTCGTTCATTTCTTTTGCCGGTGGTTATAGCTGGGCAGAAGAAAAAGTCCTACCATCACCCAGCAGGATCACCTTTTTCTCTCAAAAAAATAATTTAGGGATAACGTCTTGCTCTGTCACCCAGGCTGGAGTGTAGTGGCATGCTTGTAGCTTATTGCAGCCTGGGACTCCTGGGCTCAAGCGATCCTCCCACCTCAGCCTCCCAAAGGGTTGGGGTTTACAGGCGTGAGCCACCATGCCCAGCCATCCAGCAGAAGAATCTTATCAAACCCTCCAGCATTCTGGAGAGTGTCAAGGAGGCCTCCCCAGAGGACATGAGTCCCTCCCCTGTGACTGTGCCCTGACTGGGGGTCTCTGATGGCTACAGAGTTTCAGGATGTCCTTTGGGTGCAGAGTTGATCAGCTCAGGAACCCCCAGGTGAGGACTGGTGGGCAGAGGGGCTGCTCCAGACTGGGCACAGCACTGCAGGAAGTGTGGATGGAGGGCGGGTTGGGACTCAGTGTTGAAGCTTGCACCTCACACTGGCACCCACAGCTTCTCCTGTCATCCTGTCACCTTATTCCATCCCATCCAATGTGTGTATTTTCCTGGGATTCCTCTGGTTATTCAGAGCAAAAGGACCAGCCTCTAAGAGTTCAAGTAGAGATCAGTCTCATGGGGGCCAGACAGGCCAAGCTGGCCGCCACTCACTCACTTCCCTCCCAGTACAAGACTCAGACTCCCATGACCATGATAGAGAAGTCTCGGATGCCCTGGGGCCATCCCCCTGGAGCTGCATTCTTCCCTAGGAGTCCACTATCCTGGGAACAGCTGTCTTATGATCCTGTTCGGTGGTGACGCAGTAGTGTGCACAGCCAGGAAAGCTCAGAAGACAGGCAGAACCAGTTATCCAGCCGTAGCTACAAGTTAACTGTAAAAAGACCCCTGGGTCCACAGGGCAGGGCTACTCGGCTGGCTCTGGCCTAGATTCTTGGGCATTATTCCGGCCACAGACAGGAAGCACAGAGAAGACAATCAATGATGTTACAAGTTTTTTCAAGATTTCAATCTGGGAGACAGAACACTTCATCCAGGCTTCCAGTGTCAAAACTGGAAGACAAATGTCCTAAGGGGTCTTGTCAGTTTTGTATACTGGCACATAGCCATGATTTACGGAAACAGGACTTTTGGTCTCTCACCCTCGGAGACAAGAGGAACAAACCAAGACAGGCCAAAGGACCAGAAACTTCAAGTGGACATCAGACTTGGACAGATGAGAGTTCGGAAACCAGCACAATTGCCATGACCAAAGTTCAGCTCCTCACTCAATGACAGTCCTCCTGGGAAGGAAGGTGAGAGACTCAATGACCATCTGGGGTCCTTCTGGGACTTCCCGGTCCATGGTTGTGCTCTAGTGGCAGCTATCCTGAGGCCAAGGCCATTGGGGGAAACCTCTAAACAATGAAAACAGCCAGGGAGATGATGAGCGTAGGTCTAACAGCAGCGAGGCAGCCCGAAAAGGAAAATCTGGCTGAAGGGAAGTTGGAGTTCTCAGGGACAGGCTTTAGAGGAAGAGGAGAGTTTTTCATGAGTCTCTTTAGTAGGGCCAAAACAAGTTCGTTTCCCAAGGGCTAAAAGTCTGCCATGTTTTTATGAGTTGTGTGGGTTAAACTTGGGTCATGTTGATCTTCCAACAGAAATAGAGTGCAAGAAAGTCCAGTTTTTTTCTCATAACAATGTTCCGCTTAAGTTTGGAGAAAATATGCTTTTTCTTAAGTTTGAAATAAAGTTTATCTACTTGTGGATGGGGTCTTTGTGTCATTCCCACTTCAGACACCAATCTATACTGTTGCCAAGAGGATGGCGACATGATTGTTGAGAAAAGGAAAAACTTCATACAAATGGCTCCGTAGAGTAGGGAGCAAAGTAGTGATGCCTGCAGGACTGATGACATTTACTGTCCTCACTGAGAGAAGCAAGAGAAAAGGCACCCAAAAACTATACTATGAATGGAAAATGGCATATAATCACAGATGCAGACAGGATTTCAAAGAAATGGCTACCGTGAATAACTTTATGCCAATACATTTGAAAATACAGTTGAAACGAAGAAAGTCCTAGAAAAAGAAATTACAAGAATTGACTCAAGAAAAAGCAGAGACCCTAAACAGTCATATAAGCATACATTTTTTACTAGTAATATCTTCCCTTCAAACCAAACTCCAGGCCTAGATGACTTCATCAGCAAGATCTATCAAATATTCAAGAAGCAATAGTTCTAATTTTACACAAACACTTTCAGAGAATTAAGACAAAGAGGCTCCACTCTTGTTAGAAGGCAAACATAACCTTGAAACCAAAACCTGTCAAGGACATTATGAAAAAGAAAATTATAAGCCAACTTTATACTTGTTAGCATAGATGCAGAAATCCAAAACAAAATATTAGCAATATATAACAATGTTAATACATGGTGACTGGGCTGGGCACAG